GGGAAGAGAAGGTGGGGGTATGGATAAGAAAAGTGTTGTGAAAGCATTTAGATTATTTCCATGAAAAAATTAAAAAAGAAGCATGGGAGGCATTGTGGAGAAAAAGAAAATCTAAAAGTTTGATGATGCAATTATGTGAATTAGAGGGAAGAGAAGTGGAACTGAATTTTAATCAGCCTTCAATTTAACATAATTACCTATTCTTACTCTCAATTACATACATATTTATTATATAACCATTCTGTTCCTGACACTAAGAACTGCCACTGTGCTTTAAAGAATTTAAAGTTCTCTGTCAGGTTCTTCTACCTGTGCTTTAAATATTGATGAGCTTCAGGCTTTAACATGAGGCTCCTTCCTGTTTATAACTCAGATGATTTTACCCAATAAGGAATTCAACCAACACCTTCGTGGTGATGCCTCCTAAATCTACACATCTCTAATTCAAACTGTTCTGCTGAGATCCTGGAACCATATATACAATGACCTGCTAGAAAATCCATGATGTGACTCAGGGGCACCCCCACACTCAATGTGGCCAATTTCTAAATGTGTCAATTTCTTTTTCTTCTCTTATTTCTCCTGGCTTAATAAAGGATGCTGTTGTCCAAGGGAGAATTACAAAAATAACAAGAAGTTGGTTAAGTAGCAAGAATAACAACTAACATTTATTGAACTTCTTTTATTACAAGCAATTTATGCACGTGACCACATTTGAATCTCATAATAATATTTTGATGTGAACATCATTATTATTACTGCTACTACCGTTTTACGGATAAGGAAAGGGAGGTACAAGAGATCATGCCCATAGAAAATGACAGAGCTGACTTGGAGGAATGCCAATCTTACAGCATTGTTGTCACCTGGGAGCCTGATAGAAACTCTGGATCTCAGGCTCCACCCGGGCCTGCTGAATCAGGTGGTGTGTGTGTGCACCTTAGAGTTTGAGAAAGAAACTCTTTTCACTCCTTTCTTTCTCCAGGGAGGATCTTAGGAGAAAGATCCTCCACCTGTGTTATGGAAACCCCCTGTGGCTAATTGCTTTCTGCTATAGTCAGCTTTCTGTCACTAGGAACAGATACCAGAGAAATCAACTTACAAAAGTAAAAGGTTTATTATGACTCACAGCTTTGGAGGTCCAGTCCATGGTTGGTTGATTCTGTTGCTTTGGCGCCTGTGGGGAGGCAGCACATCATGGTGGGAGCACAGGTGGAGCAGAGCTGCCCACTTCCTGGCTGGGAAATGAAAGGAAGGAAGAGGAAGGCACTGTGGTCCCTCTGCTTTGAATCTTGTCCCCCAATGCTCTGAAGAACTTCTATCATTTCCCACCTTTTACAGGTTCTACCACCTCCCAATAGTGACACAGAGATCAAGCCTTTAACACATGGGCCTTCGTTAGACATTTAAGATCCAAAACTGCTGTGTTCATGGTGGCTGCAAGAACTTATTAAAAGCATTAATTCGATCATACCCATTCTTTGTTTAAATTCCATGAGTACCTCTAGGATACAGTCCAATCTTGTTAGCCTTTGTGGTCTGTTCCCTGCTGGTGTGTGCAGTCCCACCTCTGGCCATGACGACTGAACAGCACAGTTCTTCAAATAATATGCGTGCTTTTAACACTCTGTGCATTCATCCAGCTGCCTGTGATCTGGGCTTAAAATGCACTGAAATCTCAGGGGCTGCAACTAAATACCGACAGACATCCATGATGCAAAGAGAGGTTTGGGTGGGGCCTGAGGTGACCAGGGAGAATGTGCTGTGAGCATTTCTAACAACTCTTGACTCTGATCAGAGGAGGTGTTATCCTCTGGGAAGGAGGTTTCAGTGAGACAAATGTCTGCTTGTCAGAGACGCCAGAAATCTGGATTTAAAACAAGAATATTGGCAACTACTTTAAATAAAAGTAAGGATTGAGGCTTTCTTCCAGAATGGCAGAATGTTGAGTGCAGCATCTTTCCTCCCTAGTAAAACAACCATCCGACTGGAGAAAATTATTAAAAAAGAATCACTCAGTGTTTTCAGAATTTATCTTGAGGGCACAGAGCAAATGCAGAAACATTCTCATAGGAATGTATCATTAAGATCAGTGGGAATCTGTGGCATATGAATGACCCCCCCCCCGCCCCCCACTTGCTCCCTCCACACCACCCCCAGTTCTAGCTTTGAGAAACTCTACCTAAATTTCTCTGCTCTGAGTGGGTATGGTCAAGAGATAGAGGGCTGCTTTTCCCTGCAGCTCCCAGCTCAGGGCAGTGGTTTCACGCTGGGAAGGGCAGGCCAACCATATTTCACATCTTCGCCATTCTTGGGATGCAAAAATTCTGTTCCTAGTGGAGTCTACTGTGACTCCTCCCCTCCACCTTGCCCTACTTCCTACTCCTAAGGTAGAATTTCAACTGTTGCTGAGTCTGGCCAAGAATGCTGGGTTCTGTTTTCTTCTTCCCCAACTTGTTTGCACAGTGAATGTTCCACACTAGAATGGAAAGGCTAAGAAATCCAGGGGCTGCTGCCTCCACTCCCAAATTCCCAAACTCCCCCTCCTCAGTGTCTTCCTGCAGAGCAGGGTGTCATTCCAAAAGTGAGATCCTGTTCCCACCCCCAGCTCTTGTGCACTGCTGCCAAAGTCCAGCGTAGAAGGAAAGACAGGATGAAAACCTCCTAGCCCGGTTTAAGGGATTGACCTTATTCAGAACAGAGCATGAAGAAGTCCATGCCTAATGATGTTGTCTGAATCAATGAAATTCTTGGTGGAGAACATTTAGGAGGATACTCATAGCCCCACAATATGAGTAGTAAGATGGAGGAACATGCAGAAATTTAACAGACAACACCATGGAAAGAGACAGCCAAGCATAGCTGTCCTGGGATCACACCCATCCCTGGGTGATCTACAAGGTTTTGTGCAAGCACTGGGCCAAACCCACCCAGGAACCAGAGTAAGAAAAAGGAAAGACTTTTAACCATTTATCGACCTGCACACAGATCCATTGACAAACAGCTGAAACTTCAATAGTACTAGGGACATAAGCCCAACCTCTGTACACTGTTTGAACCATAAGCTACTGTGACCCAGGGGCATCTCCGAGGATGCCAGGATTAAAAATAAAATAAGGTCATGTGCTGCGTAATGATGCCTTGGTTATTATTTCTTCAAAATGTGTTTTTAAAATCTCCATACTTAACCGCTCCTCAACTTTCTCATTTTTCTTTTGGGACTTTGACTACAATATGCATCACTGAATGGTGGGTCAGTTCTGAGAAATGCCTGGTCAAGTGACCCCATCACTGTGTGAACCTCATACAGTATACTTGCAGAAACAAAAACAGCTATGATGTCACTTGGCAATTTAATCTTATGGAAACCCTGTGGTATAGAAACATTGTCATCAGGCACACTGTCATGACTTTGTATCAGAAATGAAAACATGTACAAATACAAACACGTGTTCAAGAATGTTCATAGAGCATCATTATTCATAATAGCTCCAAAGTGGAAATATCCGAAATGTCCATTTATTGGTAAATGGATAAACAGTATGTGACATATTTATACAATGGAATTTTTTTGACAATAACAGGAATGAAGTACCGATACCTATTACAACACTGATAAACTGTGAAAATAAGCTAATACAAAAGACCATATGTTAGGCAATTCTATTTACATGAAAGGTACAGAATAGGTAATTTTGTAGAAATAGAAGTGAGATTCAAGGATGCCTATGGCTGAGGGGACAGAGGTGGAATGGGTTGGGGAGAAATGGAGAGTGATTGTTAATGTTACAGGGTTTCTTTATGTGATGAAAATATTTTAAAATCAGGTAGTGCTGACAGTTATTCAACTTTGTGACTATTACAAAAAGCATTGGATGATTCACTTTTAAATGTGTGAATTTTATTGTTTGTAAATTATATCTCAACAGTTGTGTTTAAAAACAAGGACTTGCTCAATGGGTACAAAATTACATTTATACAAGATGAGTAAATGCTAGACACCTGCTGTACAACATGGTGCCTATAGTTTATAATACAGCTTTATATACTTAAATATTTGTCAAGAGGGTAGATTTTATATTGTGTTCTTAGATATGCACACAAAGCAAAGGAATACAAGGAAATTTTTGTGGTGGAAATGTTTGGTCAGTATGGAGCTGGGGTCAGTCCTGGGACTGTGTGACTCCAAAGCCATCTGTGCCCTTTCCATGCACCACGAAGGGGATTTGATGGTATCATAGGTTCATGCATCTTTCCAAACCCATCAAATTCGTATGCATTAAATGTGTGATGTTTTCAATGTATCAATCACACTTCAATCTATAAAAATAAGGGTAAACTAGTGTCTAGCATATGGTAGGCATTCCATAAATGTGGTGTATAACTTAAAAAGGGATTAAGCACAGTTCTCTGGAAAGTTTGCCTTCTGCCTATAGTGAAGAAGTAGAGGGTTGTGTTAAAGGTGATTAGAGGTCTGAGAACGTGAGGAAAGGGTGGTGACAATGACAGAAAGAAGGCTGCTGACATGGAAGCTTACTTGGGCCTGGGAGAGGAATGGGAATTCCTTTGGGGACATAACGAGTATTCGAGTAGAAATGTTGACTGAAGACTGATTTAAAAAGTATTGGGCCATCTCAAAATAAAAAATGAAAGAGGGCTGGGGATATAGCTCAGCTGGTAGAGTGCTTGCCTCACATGCACAAGGCCATGGGTTCAATCCTTAGCACCACAAAAACAAAACAAAACAAAAATGAATAGGGCTGGGAACACAGCTCAGGGTTAGAGGTTCAATCCCCAGTAACACACACACACACACACACACACACACACACACACACTCAGTGGATTTTATCCATGCTGCAGAATAATTTTGGATAAGTAAATATAAAATCTCCTTGCTAATGTGATAAACAATTGTTTCCCTCTCTAATGAGTTGGGGGTTTGATGGGTTGATATAAAAATCATATGTAGTAAAAGGGAAAATTGAGTATCAATAACATGGTTATCAAAATGGTTTCTTATAGGTGTGTTCAGAAGTCATACCCTTCCCTACTCCCATCCCTTGGTGTCGTCATCATATTCATGGATGAATCTCTGTCCATTATACAACGGGCCATCACCAGTGTCATCAGCCGGACCCCACCTCGGTTGCTGAAAGAGATCATCTTGGTGGATGATTTCAGCTCAAATGGTGAGCAACTTGAGCTAGGAATAATCATAAGAATTACCATTTGTCATCTGTGCTTGGCTGGAAAGGGGTTGTAGCTTAAGGTTTGGGATACCTTGGGCTTCTCATGTAGGAAAAAGAAAAGTAAAATTTATTGAGGAGCTATTTGGTTTACCATGTTTAATTTTCATAAAGCCAAGAGAAGATCATTTTCTCAGTTGCATAGATGAGACCACTAAGACACAGAAAGATCACGCAGTGTGCCAAAATTGCATGGAAAGTCAGTATGGAACTGGGGTCAGTCCTGGGACTGTGTGACTCCAAAGCCATCTGTGCCCTTTCTGTGCACCATGAAGGGGACTTGATGATGTGAGGAGGGCGGGGGTCTCAAAAAGACCTCAGACACCAGGAAGGGATTCAGAGCTACCTTTAAAAGAAAAGATATCAACCCAATCTCTACTGGTGTTGAAGTCTGGAGTAAAAGAGCATTGGGTGCTGAAACCTCTCCGCAGTGGCAACGATTCTTGCTCACAGGATGAATCTCCTGAGGTCTAGCTCAGTCAAGGAGGACGTGTGGGGAAGTGGCAGATAGTGAACCTTGCTGAATCCTTGCTTCTAAATTCATAGACCCTGCTCCTTCCTTCTGAGCACTATGTCCTCAGGTAACTGAACTTCTCCACGCTCTGGTCTCCTTACATGGAAACATGAATGTTGATAAAAAATATCGTGAATTAGAGTGAGAATTAAATGAGAAAATTAGAGCAGCTAACATTATTTGTTCCAAACACTTTATGTGTGTTAACAGTTTTAATCATGATAATAACAATATGAGGAAGGAACCACTTTTGTATTTTTACCATTTACATGGATGTAAAAAATTATGGCGCAGACTAATCAAAGAGCTTGCTGAACATCACATAGCTGGTGATAGAATTAAGTTTTGACCATAAACTTGAGTTCAGAGCCCTTGTTCTAACCACTATTTTCACTGATATAATACATTGATCATGTCCAGTTAGCTCTAGTTTTATTAATTTTGGGCACCAAATAAAACAAACTAGAATTAAGTTGTAAAGTTGGGCTAGTGATAAGGATGGATTTTCTAACTGTGTAGGCTCTGTAGTAGTGGCCCTTCAGAGGAAGGATTTGGCTCTTTCCTGGGCATCTTTAAGTACAGGTGGGTTATTGTTGTTTCAAGATTTCCCTGAGAAGAGAGACACACACAAAATGACAACTTAAAACTTTCTCTTTTGGGTTTCCAGACACTGAAAAAATATTTATTTTCTTCCATTATATGCCTCCCATTCTTGTCATTCCAATGTAACTAAATAAGATATAAAAAGGTACATTTTCTAGGGTGAAATTCCACTGAAACCCAAAGAAAACAGCATGACTGGTTTCATTCATTTCCAGATGTGAAGCCTGATACCAAGTTGTTCACCTGACTTTCTAACAAGAAATAGGATCTTCAGTTATTTGTCCATGATAGCTGAAGACAGCTGAAGTCTTTTGCAGCCTGAGATGATTTTAGCTAAGTCCTTTTACCTCTGGGACTCTGCTTTGTCATGGGGCAAATGCAAGCATTAAGCTAGAAGACCACTAAAACTTTTTTTTTTTTTTTGGTGGAGAAAGAACCCTATAATGGTTACATAATTCCATGCTCCATGGGGAGTGGCTAAGACTTCATTCAAGACTTTTTCCTATGAAACAATAAAATGGATTATACACTATTATCAACATAGGGCAGACACATTTAACGACAAGTCAAACAAAGGTCCCAATGTTGTAAGATGCATTACTGTAATAATCCATCCTTCTAGATTGGGTTTGGAACCATTTTTGTTTTTCATAAAGATAATTTGTTTGAAATGGCACAGAAAGAGGAGCTGTTAGTCATTCCTTGACTGGTCAATGAAGCAGGAGTTAATTTCTCATTAACCATGGAAATACCAGCTACACTGACATTCAATGAGCATATCCTAGAAATCTGCTGAGGAAAAAATAGGAAGTCTCTACTGTGCATACTACAGGGAAATTTACTATCCATGTGAATTTGGAAACAAGTCACTCAAGTACTTCATATCTCAGTTTCCACATCTGTAACATTGGGGAAATAAATGGTGTTTACCTTCTAGGACCACGTGGGGGACTAAATAATATATGTAAAGTGCTCAGAACAGGCTCACTGTATTAGAAGTTTCTTCCTTCCTTCCTTCCTTCCTTCCTTCCTTCCTTCCTTCCTTCCTTCCTCTAGATGTGAAACTTTATTTGCATCAATCAAATGCCTTAAGCATCATTGGAGCTAATCTAAGAGTTTTTGGAAATTATATCAATGTAGGCACAATCCTGAATTTTCTCCAAATTTTAGACACATTCTCCAATCAACAGCTATTGTGTTTCTACCATGTGCTAAGCACTATATATGGAAGAAGCTGTCAGAAATTTCAAGATGTTCCCATCTTAATTGGCCAGGAAAGGCACATCTGTGGAAGGGTACCTCAATGTATGAAGAATTCTGTCAAATTAAGTGAACTATCAGTCAGTATGAGGAAGCCCAGAGAGGGAGATGGGGTCATGTAGGGAGGCTTTCCTGAGGAGTGGGGCTTACACTGGGATTTGAAAACTTGTTAGGTTTTGAAAATGCAGAGAAAGTAAGAATGACTCAGGGGCTAGGATGAGGAGGGGATAGGTAGTCAGAGAAAAGAATGGTGTGAGCAAAGACACAGAAGCCAAAAGCACCCTGGAAGAAATCTTCAATTCTCATGCTGGACTGTTTGCAATATATAAAGATTATTATATAGAGAATGTAGAGAATCACACAGGAAAAAAGATACCATTTTGGAAACTGGAATACCCAAGAGATCACGTAAATTCTGGAAGAATCTGATCATCTTGGTTCACAATGGCCTGGGGGGTGATACTTAGCTACTCATTTCAAATTTGCTCTTCTGAGAGGGTGACTCAGAATCTGTGGCTCATTAGAGTTTGGGAGTTGGAAAGGTCTTGATAGATTACCTGCTATTTCCAAGTTGAAGAAACCGTCCCCAAATAGGAAGTGGCATGGAATCCGATAGTGATCCAACTAGAGTTTGACATCCACAGGAAGCTGTAAGAGATTGCAAGAAGTCCCATCTGAATTGGTAAGGCAAGACACACCTGTGGAAGGATACCTCCAGGTGTGGACTTAGACTCATTGGCTCTTTTTTTACACTTTCAATAATTCAATCAATTAATTTTGAGTGTAAATGGGAGAGTTCTAAAATGGGACAAATTCTAGAGTCATATTCAGGTATATATTGATCCCAGGTCCTGTCCATGCCAGGCCTCATAAGTATACTTGTCTTTTGAGAAAAGAACCAGCAATAATCTCATTCCTGGGCTGTGGGGGAGAGGAGATGGGGAGAGGACTTGCTAAATCCACCAGGTGCTCCCAGCCCTTGAGATGGTGTGATCTGTAATCTAATGCCTATCTTATAGAATTCTTTGATAATTAAGTGAGTTAACATCAGTCAATACCTCAGAGACATTTGGTTAGGTGTTTTTCCACATGGCTTAGTGATTTGCATACAAGTTGTTTCCATACATGTAAAGAAAGCAGCTGTTAGGCTGAGTCAAAGAATAAAGGCACAGACAGGCTTTATAAAAAGGAAGGAGGGGGAGGGAAGAAAAAACTTCTAAACAGTCTGGGAATAGTGAATCTTGTTTGCATAATTTGGGGAGTAAACTCTTTAGCAAGAAGTTGGCAAAAGATTAGTCTACACATTCTGTCCCAGTTAGTCCTTCAGCAGGCCAACCAGGAATATGCAAAACAAATCAGTCTCGGTTGTTTATAGGTTTTTCAGAAAGTCCTGTGAGTTTAGCTGTGAAGAAGATGTTCCAGGCTGTCTCTGCAAAATTGTCTATCACCATCTCCAATTTCATAAGGCCAGGTCTGTCCTACCATCCTCATAAGAATTTCTCATTGTATAAAATGCACTTCTAACAGTGGCTGGTGCCTACTAAGTAGGCTTGTCAATTTAATTGTGAGGTAAAGGAAATTAAGAGTAATAAGATTAAACCTCAGGGTGAAAGAAAGAAAAGAATGATGTGCAGGAAAACATTACCTATGGTACAGGTCAAGGTTGAAGAATTGCTTATCCTACAATGGTAATCCAACCACTATTATAGTATCAAATTTCTGTACCACATTGATTATTGCACTCAGTGTTTCTGTGGGTGTGTGTTTGGTTGGCAGAAGAACTAAAGGTATCCTTGAATGAGAAGATTAAGCTTTACAACCAGAAGTATCCTGGATTGTTGAAAATGATACGGCATAGTGAGAGAAGAGGTCTTGCTCAAGCACGCAACACGGGCTGGGCAGCTGCCACTGCTGATGTGGTTGCCATCTTGGATGCTCATATTGAAGTGAACGTTGGGTGGTAAGGTTCCAGGAGTTTTCTTTTCTTTTCCCTGAGAAAGGACCGATCAGAGACATCACACATGTTCAGAATACAAGACAGGATATTGTAAAAATAGGAAAGTCAATACCAGTCTTTTAAACAAAGGGATGCTCCATGGGAGGAATAGATGAACTCTAATGGGGCAGAGGGGTGGGAGGGGAAGGGAGGGGGCAGGGGGTTAGCAATGATGGTGGAATGTGATGGACATCATTATCCAAAGTACATGTATGAAGAGATGAATTGGTGTGAATATACTTTATATACAAACAGATATGAAACATTGTGTTCTATATGTTTAATAAGAATTGTGATGCATTCTGCTGTCATGTAATTAAAAAATAAAAGCAATTAAAAAAAGAACTTGAAAAAAAAAAAGGGGGATGTTCCAAAGACTCAGGAATTCTGGTTGGCTAAAAAATGTGATGCTCTGTTAAAGAAAAAAAAAATGGACCCGAAGTATGGAAAGCTATGATGGAAATCAAATAGCTTTTCCCAGCCCTGAAAGTATATGGTATAAAGATTACATAGATCTCCGTGCAGTGGCTCATGCCTCTGGAGGCAGGAGGATCATGAGTTTAAAGCCAGCCATAACTTAGCAAGATCCTAAGCAACTTAGCAAGACCCCGTCTCAAAATAAAAAATAAAAAGGGCTGGGGATGTGCTCAGTGGTTATGCATTCTTCAGTTCAATCCCTGGTTACCTCCCCACACCCAAAAAAAAAAAAAAATTACATGGAGAATCACAGTCACACAGGAAATAGCATTTTGGACACAGTGAGACCTATGAGATCATGTAAATTCTGGCAGAATACTGATAGTCCTGGTTCACAATGACCTGGGGGTGATATTGAGGTACCAATTTCAAATCTTCTCTTGACATGGGTCAGCAGTTAGTAGGCCTGGATACCTTGAAATTTGCAGAAATTCTCTGGACTCAAGAGAGTCCTACTGTCAGCCAGCTCAGTCTAAATGAGAAGACAGTGTCAGGGCAATGTGTGAGCAGGTTTGTCAGCTCACTCTTGCTGCTTGCCCTCACATCCACGCTGGCTGATTATAAATTCTTCTTCTAGGGCAGAGCCCATCTTGGCTAGGATTCAGGAAGACCGCACCGTGATTGTGTCTCCTGTGTTTGACAAAATTTGTTTTGATACTTTACAACTGAAAAAGTATGGACTGGCAGTGCATGGGTTTAACTGGGAACTATGGTGCCGGTATGATGCACTGCCACAAGCCTGGATTGATCTGAATGATGTCACTGCTCCAGTGAAGTAAGTCTGAGTAGGCTCAGGGGATTTGATGAGAACTTGGGAAGGCAGTAGTGAATGGTGGTTTTTTTGTTTTTCTTGTTTTTTTTTTTTTTGGTGCTAGTAATGGAAGTGGAATGGAAGAGTGGAGGGTCTGGGGTGAAGGATAAGGGATAAAAGAGAGAGGGAGAAAAACATGATGAGCTGACTCCAGGTGAGAATGCATAGACATTTTTGGCTATTTAGGGCTTTCACATAAGAATCAAGCCAATTTTTTAATGTTTTAGAAAACACTTGGTCTACTTCAAGCATTATCAACTATGAGGTAGGGATATCAAGATGAAAAAGCTGTAATTTTAATATAATTTGAGAAGTGTTATGATAGCACAGTGGCTGGGGGAAACTTCCATGCACTTAGTCTGAGGATTTCAGGCAGGCTTCAGGATAAGGGGAGGCTTAGGTAGAGTTCTGAAGACAAAACCATCATTGGGCTTCCTACCTCTTACCTCCATCCTGACCTATTCCTTGTAGAGGGATGAGTGACTCTCTTGCTGTGTTCTATATAGGAGTCCTTCCATCATGGGCATCATGGCTGCCAACAGACTGTTCTTGGGAGAGATTGGGGCTCTGGATGGTGGAATGCTGGTCTATGGAGGAGAGAACGTGGAACTTAGCCTGAGGGTGCGTACATTTCCCTCCTCTTTATGGGACAATGCCAAAGAGGAATGTGTTAGTCAGCTTTCCATTGCTGTGACAAAATAGTTGAGGTAAACAACTTGAAAGGAGGACATGTTTATTTTGGCTTACAGTTTCAGTCCATGGTTGCTTGACCCTGTTGCCTTTGGGCCTAGGGCAAGGCAGTAGAACATCAGGTCATGGCATGGAGCACATGGTGGAGAAAACTGCTCACCTCATGGAACCCTGGAAGCAAAGACAGAGAAAGTGGCAGGGTCCCACCATCCCTTTCAAGGGCACACTCACAAAGACCTAATTTCTTCCCACTCAACTCCACCCTTTAACAGTTCTATCACCTCTCTGAAGAGCCACAACATGATTTTGGGGGGACACTTATGATTGGGAGAGGGCAGAGGAGAGGGGAAATGGGTAATGAAATAGAGCAAATTATGTTAGATGTATATATGAATATGTCACAATGAAACCCATTATTATATATAATTGTAATGAACTAATAAAAACTCCAAATCATAATATGGAAACAATAGGAAGGTAGCAAGATCTCCGGAATCCTAGGCAAGGCTGAATGTTATTGGCTTAAGAGGTAGACACATTCTTATGTTTCCAGGTCACCAGGTCATACTGAAACAGGCAAGAATCTAGGCATAGTGCAGCTTTCTGGTATTGGCCTTTATAATCTGGGAGGTATAGTTGGAAGGGGTAGAGCTAAGGTTAAGTAGATGTTGAACTCTTTTTTCCCTGAGGACTCTAGGTATTTACAAGCATCTCCTGGATAACATAACTTTGAGGAGTTCAAAGACTGAGAAAACTGGAGTGGGTAGAGGGACTAGGGAAAGTGGTTGAGTGGGCAGCCTGCCTGCTTCTGCATGGGCAAATGGAACAGTGAACATTATGACCTGTGCCTGTGCTGAGGTGTTGCATAATCCAGGAGAATATCCAGGAATGGGTACAGCATTGGCATCCTCAGTTCAGCACGAGTTCTTCCCAGTTTCTCTGTGTCTGCAGTGATCCTAGCTTCACCCCTCAGCAGTGTTTCCTCCTGCCAGCTCCTGAAAACTTTCCCTACTTATTTAGGTCAGATATACAACCTGAACTTTGGGATCTATAAAGGAATTCAAGGTGCAAACCAAAACAACCAGAGGAATTCCAAATGCAGGTTCATATTACGTTTGTGTATCCGTTAGCTATTGCCAAAAATGCTGTATAACAAACTATCCCAAACTTGGTGATTTAAAGCAATAATTATTCATTCTCACAGATCTGCCTGTTCTGCTGGGCTTGGGTGGAATTGACTGTGTTCCACAGAGGTTTATTCTGTAGCTCAGCTGATGGAAGAGCAGCTATGTGGGGAAAGAAAGCTGTTCTCATGGCACACTAGCGGGCAGGTGGAACCATGTGGCTCTTTCCAAGTAAGTCACAGGGCCAAGCTCAAAGTAGCACGAAGGGTTGAAGCCAATAAATTCAACACATCACAATTTATTTAGAGCAGGTTTTGTGCATAAGTATAGTCCTACCACAGTATCCTTTTTACCTTTTCTGTACAGTCTACAGGGCCTTGTTAGAAGGTCCTGACTTTGGATTTGTTGAACAACACGAAGGTCTATATGTCATACGTGCTCTGTCAAATACCTAAAGTGAGGAGTGACACATACTATAAACTCAACAAATGGTTGGTGATCAAAATAATAATAAGAAGAATGTTGGGGTAGCATTGTAAAAAAAAAAATGCTGGATATAGCTTCTAATCCTGGCTCTGCCATATCATTATGGACTGAACTTCTAGAAAATGACTTTTTTTTTCTCTCCTCCCCACTGAAATTCTGTACCTTAGACCAGATGGTCTCTGGTCTATTGCTGTATTTGGAGGAACAAGATAATTTCCTGTTTACAATTTATTCAGTTTCACCTGCTTTAATTTCTTTCTAATTGAAATGGATGACCACAGACAGATGTTAGGCCCAACTAGGACTGACTCAGGATCCCATATTTATGTTAGCAAATGAACTTTGAATCTAGTCTGGATCTTACCTTAATCCACAATTGCTTTGGCATAAAAAGTTAATATTTTTGTTTGGGGGTCTTGATCAGTTTTCCCATTTATGAAATGAAGAGAAGCATTCTTGTAAAATATACCTCCTAAGAATGATGGTGCAATTAAAATGTAATAATGAGTTTACAATGGTTTTGTAAAGATATTAATTAGAATGTCATTCAGCTTCTGTGATGGAGGCCAAAATGACAAAGACTTAAATAAGACAGAAATCAATTCTCTTTCTCATAACTCTTTGAACATAAGCAATTTAGGACTGATGTGGCAGCTCCAGGGACAAGAGCCTTCTATTTTGACACACTCAACACCACCTCTGTATTCTGCACAATAGGGAAAGGACATAAAGAGAGAGAATGCTCTTTTTTTTGTGGGTGGTGTCTGAACGTTGGATATATTGCTTCCTCTCATTCCATTGGCTGCTACCTAGTCATGTGTGCAAAGGACTCTGGGAAATGTGGACCAGCTAGTTGGTCACATGCCTAGTTATTCTCTCTATAACTATAGATATAGGAATAGATCTCAACAATTAAAATGTAATGCAAAAAAATACAAATGAAAAATAATTATTGCAAACATAATTAGCAAAGCCCTAAAGATGACCCCAATTCCATCGTGACCAGGTATTTCCTACCTACCAAAGCTTTGGATGGATGAATTTGGCTGGAGACTGGAAACATTCATTATTTCTGTTTGTAATACTGGCTCTGTTTCCATTCTCCCATCCCCACATGTAGAACTCTGACATTTCAGTTTCTATAAGAAATCCTATTTCTTTTAACACTTGGCTTTTAAAAATAAATTTTGATGTAAACATAGATATTATCAAGAGAAGGATCACTCTTTCCTTTTATTGGATAAAACAATTCCACTTATATCTGGGTTCCTTGGTTTCTATGTGTGTGACTATTTGTCTATGTACTTATTTATTTATTTAGGTACTAGACTACATTTCTAGTATTTTTTATTTTTATGTTTGATAAGTGAAGCCAAGTTCTTGTCCCCAAGCCATGAAGTGGCTGCCTGGGCAGGCTGGAGAGTGGGCAGCAAGCAAGGGCTGCAACCACATGGAGTCCACAGGCCGGCTTGGGCCTGTGGTGTGGCCAGGGCTAAGGGGAGCCAGGACGAACCCACCTGTCACCCCAGCCCTATGAAGATGCCCACTACACACAACACCACAGCTGGAACCCCCCAGCATTCACCATCCAACAACTCAATCTCCTGGTGGGAAAATGGAAGTGCGGCAGACCTGAATGGGATTGCAGGGCTCACCAATAGTGTTGGTATTTTTCCAAATTCTGGTTAACATAAATCTTGACCAAACGTGTTGGTGCTTTTCCAAACCCTAATTAGCTAAGTTTAGACCATCAGCATTGACCCAAGTACTAAGTGCTGTACAAACCCCTTGACTGGCACATTCAGGAGACACCCCCTATTGGGGTCTCTCTTGTCCCTGTGAGAGTTGTCTTCACACTTGAATAAATCCTACTCCTTTCACTCTTGCTTTCTGTTGTTCTGTAAATTTTATTCTTCAGGATTTGTGAGATAAGAATCTGGGAAAGTGTGGGGATGAGCTGCTGAGTTCTGTTGCAACACTGAAGAGGATAATCCACCATGTAGAGCTGCAACACACCACTTGATAATAGTGGAGAAGAATTCAGCTTTGTTGGCTGCAACCCCAAGAGGGGCTGTCAGTAGGCTGCTAACACTAAAACGGGCTTTCTAGGCTGCAGTTGGCCTGCAACTTACACTGGTCCCACCTCTCAACTGAAGCAGAGAATTGAGCTGTGTCTCGAACTCTGGTTTCAACAGGGTCTTGCTACATTATTGAGGCTGACTTCCAACTTGTGATCCTCCTGTCTCAGCCTCCAGAGTCACTGGGATTACAGGCATGCGCCACTGTATCAAGCTTATTTGCCTATCGTGTGGTTAATTTTTGTTTTGTTTCCATTTTTAACTCATTTTTTGTCTTTATTTTTTACTTTGTTAATGAATACATAATAATTATACATATTCATGGAGTCCAATATGATGTTTTAATTCAGATATAAATTATGTAATGATCACATCAGGGTACTTGGCATATCCATTATATTTTTTATTGTACATATTTTTATTTAAGATTTTTAAAAATTTTTTTTGATTCTTTTAAGTTATACATAGTGATAGGATTCATGTTGACACAATTATAAAAGCATGGAATATAATTTACTCTAATTCAGTACCCAGTTTCCCCCCCTCCTCTCCTCCCTCCCCATGTTCCCTTACCTCTACTGATTTTTCTGTTATTTACTTATAGAAATTTTTAAATTAGTGTCTTGTGGATGTACATGATGGTGAGATTGATTCACTGTGGTGTAATATATATATATACACTTAGGAAAGTTAGATCACACTCATTCCACTATCTTTATTCCATCCCTCCTCCCTTCATTCCCTTTTGTCTAATCCACTGCTTTTTTTTAACGCCTCCCCACCCCTCCCCATTTTGGATTGGCTTCTGCATGTCAGAGAAAACATCTGAACTTTGGCTTTTTGGCACTGGCTTAGTTCACTTAGCATGATAGACTCCGGCTTCGTCTTTTTACTTGAAAATGCCATAAAGTCCTTTCTTCTTTATGGATGAAAATACTCCATGGTCTATATACTATATTTTCTTTATCCATTCATCTGTTGAAGGTCACCTGTGTTGGCTCCATAGCTTGGCTATTGTGAATTGTAGTGCTATAAACATTGATGTGGCTTCATCACTGTAGAATGCTGATTTTAAATCTTTTGGATATGTACCAAGGAGCAGCATATCTGGGGCATATTGTTGTTCCATCTCTAGTTTTTTGAGGAATCTGCATACTGCTTTCCAGAGTGGTTGTACTAACTTGCAGTCCCATTATTATCCCACCAATAATGTATGATTGTACCTCTCTCCTCACACTTATTATTGCTTGTATTCTTAATAATTGCCATTCTGACTGGTGTTAGATGAAATCTCCGTGTAGTATTAATTTAAATTTCCCTACTTGCTAGAGATGTTGACTATTTTTTTCATACATTTGTTTATCATTTGAATTTATCTTTTGGAGAAATATATGTTTATTTCCTTTGCCCATTTATTTATTGGATTATTTGGTTTTTGGTGTTAAAGTTTTTTGAGTTCTTTGTGTATCCTGGATATTAATACCCTATCTGAGGAGCAGGTGGCAAAGATTTTCTCCTATTCGGTTGGTTCTCTCTTCATGCTCTTGATTATTCCCTTTGCTGTGCAGAAGCTTTTTAATTTGATACCATTCCACTTATTGTTTTTTGTTTTAATTTTGCTTCTTGCACTTTAGGAATCTTGTTGAGAAATTTGGTTCCTGTGCTGA